CAAAGCCAATGCCCCAGCCGAACCCGAAGCCAAATCCGGAAAAGCCAAAGCCTAAACCTCAGTCAGGGTCATTGCCGGTGTATTCACTAGACGGTGTTTCCGACAGGACGAACCCAAAGCCCGACCCGCAACCTAACCCTAGGACAAACCCAGCAAAGCCGGACCCAGAAGTCAAGCCACAACCACAGCCAAAGCCCCAGCCAAACCCAAAACCCACTCCTGCAAAGCCGGACCCAGAAATCAAGCCACAACCACAGCCAAACCCAAAACCCACTCCTGCAAAGACGGAGCCTGAACCACGGCCAGGACCATCCAAGTCGACGCCATTGGACTCACTGTCAGTTCGTTTCGACAAGGTGAACCCAAAGCCTGATCCACACCCGACCCCCAAGCCAACACCAAAGCCGCAGCCAAACCCCAACCCCCACCCGGGACCGTCCAAGCCTAAGCCGCCGGTGTACGCACGTCGCGTTGGCTCCGACAAGCCCCTCAACTAAGCGAGCAAGGTGGCTCGTGCAGCATGGATTGGATGATCAAGCAATATGTCACGTATAAGAACAAGCTTAATTAAGGTATCCATCCATGGAATAATCAGCAGTGTGGCTGTCAGTCCTATGAGTTGTAAAATGGTACTGCCTATGTATGCTTCGTGTGTTGCATGCGTACCTGTGTACGTAGGCGATCTGAGTGTGCTTGAATATGAGTGTTTATGATTCCTAATCATGTGTGTACGACCAGCTTTGTGTATCCATGATCAATAATGACATCAATCTACACATGTATGTGCCAATGTGTTGTGCTACTCTTGCGAGAGTCCGAAGAGTCGTCACAGAAAACAGTTTCTTTTAGAGAAGAGTCATCACTGAGATGCAAGTGTTGTTCCGCCCCTCCGTGCACTCGCCCAGCCCAATCATGCAAGATATACTAGCCAAACTTTTATTATTCAATATATTGTCTTGAAGCTAACTTTAATTATTCAATTAAAGATCATAATATCAACACATATACTTTTTGGCCCTTGTTGTGTTTCGACCAACATATCAAATACACATATTTATTGATGGAAGAGTAAGATGAGGAGTGTAGGTTGATTAAAAAATATAGGAGGATAATTTTGCAAATGTGCCAACAATCCATCTTGTAGCCGGACACAGCCCCCAGATTTCCCTAATGCACTGGATATGTTCTCTTGTATGGCAATATTCCCCATCCTTAATAAGACCATCATTTGAGGTGCCTAACATGATTGTGGTCTATCTGATATAACCCATGTGATGAATCTTGTTGCCACCTGTGATCCAGAAACTCACTTTCATATTGTTGCCAATAGTGATGACAGTGGTAGCCCTGAAGAGGTCGATATCTCTATAATTCTAGATGATACATCGCACGTTGTTGCGAGACTGTTTTACAATAAATTTCAATGAGATATGGTTGCATGGACCATGAATATTTTGAGTAATGATATAAAAATGAAAATGAAAATACATATTTTTTACTATGTTTAATTGTTGCATAGTTGCAAAATATTTAAATATAAAACATAATAGAACGAAAATTCCCATGCATATTTGCATGTTGAGGTGTATCCTTTTCTATGCATGGTTGCATGTTTAAGTGGGTCTTCTCCCACATTCACGACCTTCTATAAATATTTTTTGAATTAAAATGTTAAAATTAAAAGAAAAGAAAAGAGAGGAAAAATCAAAACGAACGAGAAATAAAACTAATAAAACTAATAAAAACATAGAAAACAAAAATAAAAAACCAGATGATACCTTCTCAAAACTAGAAAAAAACAGCCAACCCACTGACACACATCTTTATAGATGGGTTTCATAACATCCCAGAGCCACCAATGCACCACATGGAGATGCTATTGGACTGGCATCCCTTCCACGCCAGAGACGAGATCATGTGGCACCACTGGAACCTCGCGGACACGTCGTACTCGCCTTTGAGAGCCATGGCCATGACACCATGCACACAACGTTCACCCGACCTTGGACAACCTCACCAGAACTCGTCGGGCCTGGCTACAGACACGGTATGCATAGCGGTTATCGAGGATGCTCAAGGAAAGGCGCGACTGAGATGGCTTTCCTTTTGGTTTGATATCTGAACCAACTGCATATCAATTCCCGGGTTATCTTGCATTTACATCGGTTGTGGAATTGTGACAGGCTTAACCGGTCTGTCGCACTGCCCCACGCAAATCATAACGGACTGTGACGAATAGCCAAAGTGGCATTGGCCGCAACATATGCGCCTGCAAATTCTTGTGGCGGGCGTTCGTTATCCACCCCGTTTGTATCCTGAGCTATAATCCTTGGCATTGTTTTTGTTTTCCCGAATATATAATTCTAAGCATTTTTTTCATTGTTTTTGAATTCTAGGCATTTTAATAACAATCCTTGCAATTCCTACTTAAACCACCAGAGTGCATCAGCCAAGCTAGCAAGCATAGCGTAACCCAACGTTAGCTTCGCCCCCAGGCCACGCACATTCCAGTGCAAACAACTACAAAATAATGAATTTGGGAAACAAGGTTTTATTTGGACAATTACATTTCCACCCCTACCTCGAACCCACTACCCAAATTTACCCCTAATTTTTGGACCTACTCAGTTTTGCCCCTATACCATTGTGTGGTGTTATAGAATTTACCCTGAGTGGTCTTTCCTTCGGGTCTTCTCTACTTTCTAAGAGCATGTCCAGCCGGACTCAGCAAATCAGGCTCCCTATACGTCCGCGGACGCGCCCGGGCACGCCCGCGGACACTGACCGGGCACTCACTATATCCGCGCCTCCACACCCACGTATCTTATATTCCGTCTCCTATATTCATACTAAACCATGCAACGTTGCTAAAAACTATGTAGATCATGAGCGGACATACAAATGCACAATCGGTTTCAAAGCCGGATCATCGAAAGATAGCCAAAGTTCACATAATACACATAATATGACAGACAAATTCAAACTACAACTAAAAACTTGAAATAAAGACGGATCTTCACCACTTCCTCGCCGGCCCTTTGCTCTTCCGGTTGCCGGCGCAGCTGTAGGAGTCCGCGATAGGAGGTGGGTCCACGTCGGAGCCGTTTAGCCCATTGGAGGAGGAGGAAACGGAGATGACGATGTAGCCTTGCAAGCGCCGGACAACGTGGTCTTGCTTGTGCTTGAGCTTGGCCACCCTCACGGCCTCCCTCGCCGCCTCCCGCTCGGGTTGCTCAATGTCAAGCCGGAGCTGCTTGGCGTTAAGCCTTCGGAGCCGTCGGGCCTTTGTATCCGCCTCAGTCAGTGACCGGGGGCACACCCACTCGAAGAGAAGGTCCTCCTCGTCGGGCACCCGACGGCGGTGGGCGGACTTAGCAAACCCGTTGGACCGCCCACTATGTCACGCCCAATATGCGACCCTATCCAAAAGGAACTCGATGGTCCCACTAAGGATAGACCCGCACATTGAAACACTTTGCAAGGTGGATATCATTACATCAACATTACATAATAGATGGGGATACATACAAGAGGCATACAATGCCACACGAATACAACATCATCATACAAGAGATCAACATCCGACTACGGATGAATCATAAACAGAAACTCAAACAATATCCACCCTGCTAGCCCAGGCTGCCGACCTGGAACCTATCCCCTGATCGAAGAAGAAGCAGAAGAAGAACTCAACGCAAGCAAGCATCGCTCTCGCGTCATGATCATCGCATAACCTGTACCTGCAACTGTTGTTGTAGTAATCTGTGAGCCACGAGGACTCAGCAATCCCATTACCATGGGTATCAAGACTAGCAAAGCTTAATGGGAAAGGAAGGGGTAAAGTGGTGAGGTTGCAGCAGCGACTAAGCATGATATGGAGGCTAACATATGCAAGTGAGAGCGAGAAGAGAACCAAAGGAACGGTCGTGAAGCTAGCAATGATCAAGAGGTGATCCTGAACACCTACTTACGTCAAACATAACACAGAGACCGTGTTCACTTCCCGGACTCCGCCGAGAAGAGACCATCACGGCTAGACAAGCGGTTGATGCGTTTTAATTCGGATCTGGTGTCAAGTTATCTCCAACCGGACATTAACAAATTCCCATCTGCCACATAACCGCGGGCACGGCTCTCGAAAGTTTATACCCTGCAGGGGTGTCCCAACTTAGCCCATGACAAGCTCTCGCGATCAACGAAGGAATAGACCTTCTCCCAGGAAGACCCGATCAGTCTCGGAATCCCGGTTTACAAGACATTTCGACAATGGTAAAACAAGACCAGCAAGACCGCCCGATGCGCCGACAATCCCGATAGGAGCTGCACATATCTCGTTCTCAGGGCAACGCCGGATGAGACAGGCTACGAGTAAAACCAGACTTCGAGTTTCCCCGAGGTGGCCCCGCAGGCGGCTCGGTTTGGACCAACACTTAGACAAGCACTGGCCCGGGGGGGCTAAAATAAAGATGACCCTCGGGTTGGCCGACCCAAGGGAAAGGGATAGGTGGTGGTGAGGCAAATGGTAAAACCAAGGTTGGGCCTTGCTGGACAAGTTTTATTCAAAGCGAACTGTCAGGGGGGTCCCATAAATCACCCGACCGCGTAAGGAACGCAAAATCCGGGAACATAACACCGGTATGACGGAAACTAGGGCGGCAAGAGTGGAACAAAACACCAGGCATAAGGCCGAGCCTTCCACCCTTTACCAAATATATAGATGCATTAATAATATAAGAGATATTGTGATATCCCAACATAACCCTGTCTACCATGGAGAAATCTTCAACTTCACCTGCAGCTCGCAACGCTATAAGAGGGGCTGAGCAAAGCGGTAACATAGCCAAACAATGGTTTGCTAGGAATGGTGTCAAAGGTTAGAGGTTCATGGCAATTTGGGAGGCTTGATGAGCAAAAGATAGGTAACGCAGCATAGCGATAGAACGAAGCAACTAGCATAGCAATGATAGTAGTGAGATCCAGAGTAGCGGTCATCTTGCCTGAAATCCCGCAAGGAAGAAGAACGACTCCATGAAGAAGACGAACGGATGAAGCCGAACCAACCGTAGACGAACGAATCCTCACGATCGCAATGAAACAGAAACTAACAAGAAGAAGCACACAACATAGGTAAACACACCACACATGAACAAGGCATGATACACAACAAGCATGATGCATGAAAAGGCTACATGAAGCTACTCATGGCAAGAGATGATGCAAACAAGAACAACACATCAAGGCAAGTTTAAATGAGGCCAGAAACAACATATAACAATTCCGGTAAGTCCTCATATGCAAATTTGGTCCAGAATTGAATAAACCTTATGTTCAAGTTGTTAAAAAGCAAGTTAAGATGCACCAAGATGATCTACATGAAATTCTAGTCAAGTTACATATAAAGTTCATTAGATTCGGAGCTACGGCCTAGAAGATATGAGCAAAACAAGTTAAACATGGCATTGATGCAAAATGCACCCAAACATCAAGCAAACACACC